TACATACAAAACAACAGAAGAAGAATTTACTGTACACAGTTACAGTATAAAAAAAACAACCTAAAAACCAAACTATGCTGCATCCTCTCTTCTGTTGCGGTCTGGCCACAGCACCTCATCCACATCACAAGCAATGTTTTCCCTGGCCAAGCAGCGCAGGAAATATCGCCTAGCATAGCGATTCCAGCCATGAAAAGCATCAGCTGCTGTATCTCCACAGCTTGGAGAAGAGGTATACGTGTTTGTGGATTTCGGTCACACACTTTCCATCTCCAGTCAGGAAAAAATTCCTCAATAGGATTGAGGAATGGAGAATATGGAGGGAGATAAACTAAAAAGCGTGGGTGGACAGTGAACCAGTTACGAACCAAAGCAGCCCTGTGGAATCTTACGTTGTCCCAAATGACAACGTACCTGAGCTACTCTGGGCCGTCTACCTGATCTGGTGGAATGAGTGTGTTGTGTAGGGTGTCCAGGAATGTGATCAGATGGGCTGATGTGGGTAATCGCTGCACACATTGTGATGTTCCCTCCGCGCTGGCCAGGGACTTCAACAATGGCACGCTGGCCGATGACATTCCTTCCCTTCTTTCATCTTTTGTGGTTGAACCCAACCTCATCAATGAAGATGAACTGGTGCTCCACTGCAGCCACCTCTAGCTCAAGGACTCTGAAACACACATGACAATATCAGAAATAGACATGGAGTGGTCACTATTGTGAAGCACAATCATTATGATTACAATATTGAAATATGTATAATTTACTGTATACAGTTTTGAGTGTATGCATCAATTGTGGGACTCACTTGCACATAGTTATATCGCAAATCTTTGACTCTTTCTGAATTGTGTTCAAATGGCACCCTGTAGACCTGCTTCATCCTGAGATGATTTCTGCGCAAGACACGGTCCAGTGTTGATAAGCTTACCCTATCAATATTTTGAAATATGTCATTGTTTTCTATTATTTTTCTTTGTATTTGCTGTAATGTTATGGTGTTGTTTTCTAGGACCATGTTTATGATTTCAGTTTCCTGTTCAGAAGACAGAAGACGTTCCCGACCACCTTGTGTTGGTAATCTTTCAGTTCTGCCAAACAAATAGTAAAATACTGTAAATACAAAGTAGGTATACATTTCCTAAATACTTGAAACATACTTTACAGTATTTTTACAGTCCTACAGAACAGTCCACAGGCAATACTGTACTACTGTACTCATTGAGTACTGTATTGATACGCAGTACTGCAATTTGCTAGTGAGAGTAGATTTCTTACCTGTTCTCATTTCGGAAAGTCCGGATGATGGATGCTACAGTGTACCTGCTCAGATTGGGCTGTACTCTTTGCCCAGCCTCCCTCATTGTTAGACCATGGTTGACCACATGATCAACCAAAGTGGCTCGTATCTCATCAGAGATTACGGTCCTTGGCCTTCCTTGTCCTCGTCCTCGTCCCCGTCCTCGTCCTCGTCCTCGTCCTCTTCCTCCTCTGGCTCTGCCTCTGTTTCCAATGTTGGTTGCCTGTGTGAGAGAGAACATCAGATTTCCTCCTGTTTTGAACAGCTTTTTCTACCAGCAGCTATGTTGTACGACACACGGAGCTAGATGGAGCCGGTGTAGGTACCAGATGTGATCGGGTGGTCAGAACTGCACGGGGGCCTGGGCCTGCAGGTAACGTCACATAACGTGATTGGCTGTATATTTGTATGATGTGGCAGAAGGTGATCAGCTGTACGTCGGAGTGTTTACATCCATAGTTATATGTATACATTTTATTGTTTATTCAAAAATATGATACTGCCATTCATAAAATATAGCTGTGCAATTCCAACATTGTTTTCTGCTTAATATGATATGAAAAGTGCAAAGTGACTGTTCTATTTTTAGCAGGGACTATGTACAAGACGCAAGTTAAATTGCCTTGCCTGAGCAAAGGAAGTGGTTGTACTTCTGTGAGCTTTGTGAAAAGGGGAAGGAAGGAGGAGTGGATTATTCTTAGAAACATTATTTGTTATGTTATGGTGTTGTTTTCTAGGACCATGTTTATGATTTCAGTTTCCTGTTCAGAAGACAGAAGACGTTCCCGACCACCTTGTGTTGGTAATCTTTCAGTTCTGCCAAACAAATAGTAAAATACTGTAAATACAAAGTGGGTATACATTTCCTAAATACTTGAAACATACTTTACAGTATTTTTACAGTCCTACAGAACAGTCCACAGGCAATACTGTACTAATGTACTCATTGAGTACTGTATTGATATGCATTACTGCATTTTGCTAGTGAGAGTAGATTTCTTACCTGTTCTCATTTCGGAAAGTCCGGATGATGGATGCTACAGTGTACCTGCTCAGATTGGGCTGTACTCTTTGCCCAGCCTCCCTCATTGTTAGACCATGGTTGACCACATGATCAACCAAAGTGGCTCGTATCTCATCAGAGATTACGGTCCTTGGCCTTCCTTGTCCTCGTCCTCGTCCCCGTCCTCGTTGTCGTCCTCGTCCTCGTCCTCTTCCTCCTCTGGCTCTGCCTCTGTTTCCAATGTTGGTTGCCTGTGTGAGAGAGAACATCAGATTTCCTCCTGTTTTGAACACTCTATTTTGAACAGCTTTTTCTACCAGCAGCTATGTTGTACGACACACGGAGCTAGATGGAGCCGGTGTAGGTACCAGATGTGATCGGGTGGTCAGAACTGCACGGGGGCCTGGGCCTGCTGGTAACGTCACATAACGTGATTGGCTGTATATTTGTATGATGTGGCAGAAGGTGATCAGCTGTACGTCGGAGTGTTTACATCCATAGTTTATATATACATTTTATTGTTTATTCAAAAATATGATACTGCCATTCATAAAATATAGCTGTGCAATTCCAACATTGTTTTCTGTTTAATATGATATGAAAAGTGCAAAGTGACTGTTCTATTTTTAGCAGGGGCTATGTACAAGACTCAAGTTAAATTGTCTTGCCTGAGCAGGAAGTGGTTGTACTTCTGTGAGCTTTGTGAAAAGGGGAAGGAAGGAGGAGTGGATTATTCTTAGAAAAATTATTTGTTGTCAGCCTGTGAGATCATATTGATATGAGCTGTAACTTCTTTACTGGCACAGCTTCCTCTTAGTCTTCCTCATAATGTATGCTTTCAAGCTTTAAAGTGGTGTTTCAGTTTTGGATGTGAAGATGGGACATACTTTGTTCTGTGTGCTGGGGTTATTCTGTGAGTACATCACTGACTTACTCTTTTCGTGCTTACTAAAAACACTTTATGTTGCATTCACAGCATCACGGGTTGTCTAGAAACTGTAGGTTTCTTTTTAATGTGCCAGGGGAAAGTTGTGACACTGTTGTTTCGTCAGCAATGATGATTTAATACTGTATTTATAAGATGAGATAAACCTTTATTGATCTCCAGCGGGCAAATTTGGTTACTCTAGCTTACTATAGACCTACACATATTTTAAATATTGTCTTGTCTTTTTGTTTCTTGGCTGGTGACTGACTTTAAAGTGGAAGACTGTGTTGTGATAATGTTGATTGAGATTTGATATTAGACATTATCTAACCACAGTTGTTTTTTGTTTTAAATGACTTTGTTTATTCTCATTTTGACAGTTTGAGTGTGAAAATATCTGATGAAATATCAATCTTTATTTTAGTGCTGAATACACTCCTCCACTCTGGACATGCTGAAGGTGATTGCACAATCTCCCTTTTTCTGCATCACTCTGAATCACATCATCTGTCTTTATTCATTTATTATCAACATGTGCATCATTTTAGTGCATTTGTATCAACAAAAAGGAGAATATGACTATAAAGTGCTTGAGAGTGTTAACTTTCATATTCCAGCAACGTAGCAAACACACAGGCTAGTGAGTATAGATCTGCTTTTAAATTATGTGGAAATGTACTTATTTAGCAAACATATAAATTATTATTAAGTGAGACTTTTTCTAAACTCAGTGTTAATTGTGGTAGTGATTATGATTTCATACTTTGAAAACATTACATTTAGCAGTGGTTTATTGCCACCCATTTTGCTCATGATAACTAGTCTGGCTAAGTTAAAAAAGGAACTAAACTCTATCACGCAGATAATGATGTAAACCAGGAGGGTAAATGGACATGAAGAATGCATTTAATGTTTCGAGGTAAATGTGTTAAATGTGCAGGATCCAAACTGCACTCAATCCATAAACAAGAAAAGAGTTTTAATTCTGGGATATCTATTTCCAGCAAATAAAACCAAACCTGTCCTCACTGTGTCTCCATCCTGGCTGAGTCCTGGAGCCTCAGTAACTCTGAACTGCAGTGTTAAAGATCCATCTGCAGGATGGAGGTTCTTCTGGTATAAAGCTGTTCCCAAACTATCAGGCAACTACTACGACCAAGAGCTGCTACCTGGCAGAAGCAACGGGACTGAACAGGATTCCTTCATTGTTCGTGAACAGACACACACAGCAGGATATAAGTGCAGAGCTGGAAGAGGAGATCCAGTGAACTACACTAATTATAGTAACACTATGTTTGTCTGGTCTAAAGGTCAGTGTGTTAGTGCCTTTCTTTCTTCCTTTTCTTTCCTCTATTCTGCCCCCACAATTAGTCATGTAGCTACCTAGCGAAGGAGTAGGTTACAGAGTATAGCAGAGGCATACGTCATCATCATTCATCAACAGTGTTTGGGTTACTCTCACTGCTGGAAAGGAAAAACAAAAGTTCTGCACTGCAGGTTTAAAAGACACTGATTTGTGGTCAGACAGGCACATGGACAGGTGGCAAATGTGGCGCCTGCAACAAATAAACAGGCATGTAAAGAGACAAGATATGGGTACAACTAGGAGATTAAAATAACTGATAGTTAAAAGGAAAACTATGTGTTAAAAGATGGAGAGCAACCACTGTAATTAATATTAAGACAGTCAAAAGATGATTTCCACTGTGCTGCTGTTAATGTCATGATATCTCTGTGTTTGTTTTGACACCTCATTAGTTCTTTTTCAGATTTTCATCCAGCAACAGTCAGAGTGAGTCCTGACAGAGAGCAGCACTTTTCCTCTGAGCCTGTCTCACTGAGCTGTGAGGGAAACTCTTCTAAGTGGAGAGTGAGGAGGTTCACTAAAGCCGGCCATCTGTCAAACTGTTCTAAGTGGGGAACAATGACTGGATCCACATGCAACATCAACGAACTTCCAAACAAAACTGCAGTGTACTGGTGTGAGTCTGAATCAGCTCAATTCAGTAACGCGGTCAACATCACCGTACAAAGTAATTGCTTTTTTGTTTTAATTCTTCTTATTTCACAATTACATAATTTAACATCTTATATTCAGATTTTATAGGTGATTATATTTTTTGGTTATATTATATAACCAATGCAGTGAAACGTTAAGGAGAGACATGGAACCCGCCATGAAATCAGTTTTTCTGCCCTTCACAGTGTTTATTATTAGACCTCTTATTATCAAAGAATTAGGACATATTGATCCTCAATGGCATTTGTGTAAAATTAACCAATTAAATTTTGGGTATGTGATTCTAATCCAATACAAGTCTTTTTGTCAAATTCAACAAATATCTCCTCACGGTCCACTAGCTGTCGGTTCTATGTGTGTGCTGAAAAACAACCTGGTGTTTGTACCCAGCCCAGGTTCTGTAAATGGGAAACAAATAAAATGACTTGGACCGAGCCACACAAGACTTTTCCAGCTGTTCCAGCCATGATTTCTGAACTGCCCACGGACATTCAACTTACTCTCTAGTACACCAACATAGCTGTTGGTGTGATGTTAGCTGTATCTGTCTGGAGTTATTGTGCTGGCTCTGGGACTGCCTCGTCCTCTGTGCACGTTAGCTTCATAGCAGCAGTTGTAGCGACAGTTTGCTAACCCACAACTAAGCTAACATTAGTTACATTACTTGCTTTGTAATGGTTCGCTCTATTGCATGGATGTGTCATGGTGTTGGATTTCTCCAGAATTGCACACCAAATAATAAAGAGCAATTGCTGCTTATTTGTAAATATCTGAAATGATGAATTAATATTGCAATTTTACCTGATCTGATCAGAGCATCAGTTGCAACTTCATTAATTGACGCCACAGTGACTATAAACCTCCATCACCTTTGGTTATGTAAGAGTAACAGCAGAAGTGTATGAGCGATGAAAAGGTTTGCAACGACTTGATATTATTTGACTGTTTCACAGATAAAGATGGTGAATCCTGTCCATCCTGTGACTGAGGGACAGTCTGTTGGTCTTGGCTGCAAACTGAGGACAGGGACATCAGATTCTAATATATTTTTCTACCGAAATGGATGTCTCATCCAAAATGACAGGAGAGGGGCTGAATATTGCTGCAGTGTCAAAGTCAGACGAAGGCTTAGTGGAAATACTCAGGAAATGTGTCACCACATCTGTTTCTTTAAAACTTCCTTTTTCAGAAGCTATGTCACAATCTGAGATAAAAAGAGGTTGTCAAATACTTACTTAATACAAATACTCTAATTAGAAAACTAAAACAGGAGGTTCTAATGTACTGTGAATGTCTAATATCACACAGTCTAACAATAATTACGTATGTGCGCAGGTATGTACAATAAGTGTTAATTGTGTACTGCACTTGCATGGATGTACATTTGGACATTTGATTTGAACATTCATTTATGAACAATTTATACTATATATACTATGTGTATACTGTGTGTAAGCATGTGTGCTCTTAAGTATACACTTGTATAGTTATGTGTACATGTATGTTTTTTATTATTATTATTTATTTGTGAACTATAAGGTGTTAATGTATGTGTACGCACATGTGTATAGTGTGTGTAGTTTTTTTTTCCTTCCACATATAATTTCTGCAACTGGTCTGTTTTTGAACATGTGGCCCACTTGATCCTGGATGTGGGTTCACTTGTGAAGTCTTTTACATGGTTTCTTCTAATTTAGATTTACTAACTTGTGACCTCTTTTGTTTGTGAAAGCACTCAACTACAAATAACATTTATTAATACTTACCTTTTATTAGGACCTGAAGACTCTTCATTTCTTCTGCAGTTGATTGTTGGGCCAGTTTGTGGAAGTTTACTGATTATTCTCCTGCTGCTGTTGTGTTGCTACAGAAAGTCAAAGGGTGAGACCTTTTCCTGCTGATACTTGATGGTTTATAATCTGACTATTCAAAGTCATTATTGAATTCAGTGCCAAAACAAAATAATGTAACAACATTTTATTTTTGTTTTACAGATTCAAATTTTGCCAGGTGGGTAGACTTCTCTTCTCTCTTAGGCACTAAATGTTCCTTATTCAATTTACTGAATTTACTATATTTTATATATATTGTTTTATATATATATGTTTTATTTTATTATATTTTAGGACCCCACAGAGAACCAATCCGGGCTCTGCTCCAGATCAAGTGGTTTACCAGAATGAAACTACAGTGCACTCCTCTCATCTGCATGGTCAGCCTTAAAAATGATCCAGATCCATTTATCATTTCATGTTTATGACATTATCATATCACAACACTTGCTTTCTGGTAGGCTTATTTTCAAGACTTAAACCAAATGAACTTTTCAGTTAGTCAATTGGAATATAATAAACTCATCTACTACAACCAGAAAAGATCAGAACTGAAAATTGGTTATAGTCATTGTTTACATTGTCTCTAGCTGAAATTATGTTAAACTATGAGACAGAGAGTATCATTAATTTATGGTATAAAATACATTTAATGCAATTTGAGTTACACCTTTGACATTACCCAATTCAAATAACTCAAAGAGTCTAAACATCAATGTCTTTTGCCCATATTTATATCTTTAAGACAATCTTACAATATATTTGAGTATATTCATCAGAAAAGAAGCAGCTTAGTTTGTATCCTAAAGTTGAAATGATCAATTTTACCGTGACTTGATTTTCAGGTGATGCTTGTCTCTCTGAATCAATCAGAGGCTCAGAAAATGCTGAAAATGGTAGGTACATTTTTTTATTTATTTACACACAGAAGAATATTAGAAAAGAGTTGACAATCCTGTAAGTTAAGAACATGTATATTTCAGATGCAGATGAATCCAGCTATGTCACATACTCGTTGATTCAGCTTAAACACAGTAGTAATAAAGGTGAGTATACAAACAATAAATATTATAGTCAAAATATTCATCAGGCCAGTGATTTCTAAATAAAAGACAGTATTAACTCATCTTTTGATGCATCTGCTCATCTTTACAGGGCAGCATAATGAACCAGAGGAGAGCTCCCTTTACTCGAATGTGAAGACAAGATCAGCTGCAGGTACAGTCACTTGCAACAGTTTGTCCAATAGTTTGTTTTGAAATATGCAAAATATTATTGAAAGTAACTCTAGTTCAAATCACTCTAATTTTACTTCCTGTTATATTTTTGTTTGTTTTTTAATCTCTGGTCATGTTGTTGCAGACTAGCCTGTAAATGGAAATTCTGTTCTAGAGAAAAAAAAATACAAAATACTGTTGATTTTTGCTGTAAAATGATTGCTGTTGGTTTGTTGCTTGGGTTTGAGTTTGTTCTCTGACTCAAAAGATTTTAAATAATCTTAACAATGCACAAACATTTCTTATTTTTTTAATATTATATTTTTATTGATTCTAATTAAACTTGCTTAATTGATATCCCCTCTATTGTTGTAACCTGTAACTATTTTCCTCCTGTTGTATTATGCATGCATAGTCTTTATTATGCATGTATACTGCAAATATGCATTTCTGACGAAAACAGTTTTCATGTATCATTAAATTCTATAAAGAAAAACACAATACTCTGCTGTGTGGTTGGTTTGACCTTTGGGCTTTGCAATACTGTCATTTAACCTTTACCTAGATAATCTGTCTGCAGTTCAATGTATATTAAATCTATTATTGTTAAACATTTAAACAAATTAAACAAACAAACTAATCATCTCTCCGTTCATAGGAAGATCATCTCCTGCAGCAACAGAGGAAACTGTTTATTCAGAAGTCAAAATAGGAACGGCTCTTGGTAATAATGCTCCCATGTAATGTGCATGTTGTGATTTGTGTCTTTAAAGCGACTACATCTTAAATATCCTTTTATCTCTGCTTTTGCTGGTTTTCTTCCAGTTCCATAACGAGAATAGTATTACTTTTTCATGTGTAATGACCTTTTATTCCTTTAAAAATGGACTGATACTGTATGTACTTTATTTGTACCTGGATGTTATTTTGCCGTTTTGAAAGCTATGTCACATTTTATCATTTTATGCAGCAATAAAACTTTTTTCAGCAGCCAAATGTTGTGTCCTTTATTGCTTTTTAGTCATTTTTATGTGATCTCCTCTGCACACTTTTGTGGCTCATAGCTACACAGCTGGGGAAAACAAATGGACAGACATAAAACCAGAAATGTCAAAACATTAAGTATTATAAGTAATCTGTTGTTCTGTTTTTGGAGTTTTTTCATTTTTGGAGTATACAGGAAATCAACCCTCTTTACTTTTTTTTAAATAGGCAATTATGCAATTCTTCTGTCAGATGTTAACCAAACTGTAACTTTTAAATGATGATGCCAGTGAATAGTTGTTGTGGGTTTTTTTGGTTTCTGAGGTTTTATTCCTTTTTTCCTGTTGAAGATTTTTTTGGGTAGTTTTCCTAACTGAGTTTTAGCATTAAAATTAACTTATCCTTGGGGCATATTTTCCTGGCCACTAAATACAATCCTAGCAGCTATACCAAGTGCACTGATCAATGAGAAGAGAGCTGTCGTAAACGGGCGTGGCTGTGTTGGTATTTGGCTCTAGGGCTATTCAGTCAGGTGCCATTTCAGAGTAAGCAGGGCGAATCTCTTCGACACCAGCTTAAACAGTCCTCAGTTATACCTAATAGGGTAATACCCATAGGCCTAGAGGATCGGACCCTTTAAGATGGAGAGCTGGTCCAGTACCTCCTGAACAGGGGTAACTCGGGATCTAACACGGTCTAAGGTAACAGAGTTTGTATGTTGTACAGATTGCAAAGCCCTCTGACGCAACGTTTTGATTCTGGAGCTGTTTCGTCACCTTCCACAATCCACAGGTTGACTTCCAGCAGAGAGCAGCTCATCAATTTCCTTTGTGCACTGCATTGTTCTTCACCACACTCAAACACTGAGGTTTTTTTAATATGGTTTCTAACCGCTTTGAGTTTAATTGATCTCTTCATTTTTCAAGTGTGAACACATCTGCTTAGAATTGATGATGATGATGTAGTGTGGATTTGGGACAAAGTTGCTGCTTCATTGATGTTGTTAGGCTCATGTTTGGCAGAAATTAGGTTAGTATAAATGGTAAATAAATGAATTTATTGAATGCTAACTACTACTAACTATTATGTTTACTATGGAGATTTATATTCATAAATGTACTGTACTGGTGTATGGATATAACCACAGAGAGTGTAATTGATTTTAGCCATCGTCATCCTCATTCATTTAAACTGACTCCACCAGAGATAGTTGCATTTAAAACCACAATAATGTGTGCGGTTTTTATTTCATACTTGACGATGTGTACTGTAACTGACAGCATAACTAGATATTTTTATTTCATTGCTGTCTTTCTAAAGTAATTTGTTGTGTTGAAAGATAAGATCTGGTGTCAATATGATGACACTGCCTAAAATATATCCAGCAACACATTCTGTAGGTGTGAAAAGGAAGTGAAAGTGAGTTTAATTATCTCAAATTTACAAGCATTGTCACTGGCTTGTCTATTTGTAAACAGTATGTTTTGTATGTTTTATGATATTAACCAGTTAAGAACTGGTTACATTTTGGGCTGGTCCACCATAAGCATCCAGTGTTTATTATTGGTTGGTTGTTTTACAGTTGTTGTTTTTTTTACTACTGCTTACACACGTTTTCAATACTTTGTCTCCCTTTTTCAAATGTACTCACAATTCTGCTCACATAAAATGCAAAATGCCTCAAATCTCCTTCAAAATGAAACACTGCATTAAAAATGACATAAAAACCAAAATGAAGCACCTGCAGCAGATGGCAGTAAATTATTGGATTTACCATTTACACACTGTTGTTCTAAATCTAAAGCTCTTTTTCACATTTCCATACAATGTTCTAGTGTAAAAGTAATCTGCTAAGAGTGGTTGAAACATACACTGTAAACACCAATGCAATGTTAAAACAGCAAATATTTATTTGGCAAAACATTACAGTTGTAACAGTTGCACAGTGTTGTATCATCCTTTTATTGCCAAACAATAATTTTTATTTTACATTAACCATTACATTGTTGCAACCTGTTCTAATTTCTTTAGGTTCAAATTACGGTCACCACTGTAAAGCAACTCAAATTGGGCTTGACTCTCAGTCCAGCTTCTCTCACTGTCAGCCTGTGGTTGATCACATGATAGGGGCGGCTGTGGCTCAGGAGGTAGAGCGGGTTGGCCATTAATCAGAAGTCGGCGGTTCAATCCCTGGCTCCTCCTGGTTGTGTCGAACTTGTCCTCGTTGTCGTCCCCTGCCTCTCCCTCCTTCTCCCCTTGCTCTCTGTCCATTGTTGGCATCCATTGTTCAAAACAGGTAATTTGACCTTTGACCTATGTATAGTTCTGCTGTATACTACTGCAGTTAGTGATCAGTTAAGCAGTTAGTGTTTGCACATGTGAGGAGTGGCTGTTTGATCTTGTGACTAAGTGTTGCATTTTCTTTGGTTGTGTTTGGAAAAGGAAAGCAGGTCACTTCCTTTTTGTGTCTTAGATAGAGAATTGTGTGTGGTGTTTTGATAAAAGTGTTTTATGCAGTTGAAAATCACTTTGAGTGAGAAGTTTTAACCATCATGTGACATGTAAAGATTTTGTGTGTAAGCAGTTGTAAAAGACTGTGAAGTGTCATCGAAAAAAGGCTGAGGTTTGGTGCCTATCTGCTATTTTCCATATTCTATCTTGACAAAACAATGAAATATAACGACTGTTGTCTGTCAGCTTCTTGTGTTTGTATTTGGTTCACAAACAGTTAACAGCTCTTGTTCTTTACTACGAGTGTGTGTTTTTTTGAAAGATTACGTCCTCCCCCCTCATATATCTTACAGTGGTTTCAATCAATCCATATTACTTCTTAACCTCATTTCACACAAGGTAGGTTGAGCGGGAAATTATTTTCCTTTGTATGTGAGTTTGGATGAGTTGATGTATGAGTTCCCCCTCAGAAACCACTGAAATTGACCAAAATTGACATGTTAACTAGCTATTTTCTGTTGTCTTAAGATATTTAAACGGTGTCAAATCAGTGTTTTTGGTACACATACAGTAAACAGCTCTGGTCCAATGCGCTTTTTAATTTTTGAAAGTTTGTGTGCTCCCTCTCATAGGCCTCACAGTTTGGTCAGCTGCCTACCTTTTCAGACCCTCAGAGATCTTTGGGAGATGTTTTTATTGTCCCCTCCTCAATCTAATATCAATGAAGATAAAGTCAAACCAGGATTTTAGAAATGTTTGCAAATGTATTAAAAAAGACAAAAAAAAATGAAATATCACATTGACAAAAGTATTCAGACCCTTAACACAGTCCTTAGTTGAAGCCTCTTTGGCAGCAATTGCAGACTCAAGTCACTCTAAATCACTGAAACACCACATGAAAATCAGCCATCATTTAGTGACCTCACACAGTACACTGCTACACTGGGCTCATTGTATATCGTTTTTCCCCCTTTTTTTAAATGTGCAAAATTTTAAACTGATGTTCACAAAATGTTTCATCCGCACAATACTAAACGTTGTTGTATTCCTGCTTTAAGCAGACATTTTTTGCCACAGTTTACTGAAACCAAATCCCGATGATAGAAGTCAATAATAAAAATGGAGACTACCGCCTACAAAAACACATATTTTACCAGGATTAATCAGAAAAGAGTACAAAGGTCACATAATGTTGTTGATAATGTTTTTGTTCTATGTTTTTTCAGATCACTGATCTGCTTTCAGTCATGACAATACTTATTCTTTATTATTGCAGCGTCCAGCTCTCCATTTCCTGTGCTGTTGATCGTTGGGCTGGTTATTGGCATCTTTCTGGTTGTTCCCCTGCTACTGCTGCTGTATTGGTACAAAAAGTCCAAGACCTTTTACTGTTAATGTTAGATAATTTACTCACTGCTTATTAAAATGACTAAGGAATTATGATTTCATGACATGGATCAGCGGTTCAGTTGGCAAAACATCATGATATGTAAGTTTTAACTGTATTATCTGTTTTCACAGATACATGTTGGCACAGGTTGGTACAACCCTCTTAGCTCATCTTAAAAATAAATGATTAACTTTTTACTTGTACTAGCTTTTACATTTCACTACTTATGTACATTGTTTACTACATATTTCATGTTCATCCAGTCTCAGAGGACCAATCTGTCTTTCACAGATACATGTTGTCACAGGTTGGTACAACAGTCTTGTCTCATCTTAAACATATGTATTAACTGTCACACTGAGCCAGTGTACATAGCCATGATAACTTATGCTGAAAAGCTAACCAGCTCCAGAGCAGGTTCTGTTAGAGATGAGAAATTGAGGCTATATAAACACCACCTACTGACCAATCAATTTTCTTGGAAAACTTTAATCTGTAGAAGATCCCACGGACTGTTTCATACACTAATCCTGTGGGTGATGCTGATATGCTACCGATATGATCAAAATATAGCCTATGCCTTACAAAATGTAAGCCTACTTAGTGCTTTGAATAATGTTTTTATATTATTTTTATTTGCTTCACATATTCTGCTGCAGCCTTAAAGCAACATTAGGTGAAGTGGGAAACGCACAAAGACAAGAAGCAAAGTTACACAAGACACATGAGAAAGGATACTTTCAAAATAAAACCCTAAACCTTGACAAACTGTTTACTTCTACTGTTACTACTTACAGTATGTATATTGTTTACTACATGTTTAAACCCAGACACAGAGAACCAATCAGAGCTCTGCTACAGTCCGAACTGTCAACCAAAATGAAAATGAGGAGCAAGTATATTCCTCTCTTCTCCATGGTCAGTCCTCCATCTAATTGTGAATTACTTTCACAGCTATTTATAAAATTATTCTATACTCTATTCAGTTAATGTATTTGTAATTGT